AATACTAGAATAAAACCACGCCAAATGTTTTTATCACTTTCTTCACTTAAAATACTATTTCTTTACTTTTAATTTAAAAACTAAATGAAGCTAAAAGAACTTCTCCTTAATAAATACGTTACATCAAAAAGCATATAGTATAACGGTATAGAAATTTAAAATATGTCATTTTTCTAGAGGGAATTAAAAATATGTCATTTTTCTAGAGGTTGAAATTTTAAGTTTTGTTTGAATATACTAATATAGTTTATAATTAGATTAGAAGTCGTTCAAAATAAAAATAAAGTTGTCAAAAATGACTTGAAAATTATTATTATTATTATTATTATTATTATTATTATTATTATTATTATTATTATTATTATTATTTATGAAAAAATAAGTATCAATGGTTACCGAACAAAATTTGTGTACTATATGTTTAAACCCTTATGAGAATATACGATATTTGTTTCTTGGTTTAAGAAGAGATACCTCACGTCTTTACTTCTTGTGAGACATTTGCTAAGTTATGGTCGTTTGGTGGTGAATGGTGCATCATAGCTATTTTTGTATTTTTCCTACTTAAACGAGGTTCTTCCTTGGTTATATTTGGTCCATTTATTGAGTAATAAACGGATGATTTTGGATACTATTGTCATAAAAATGTGTTGGATTATATGGAACTTTAGAAGTGGTGTTGTCTTTGGTAAGAATAGATTGAGAAGGGACTCCAAGAATTGATTGTTGATCACTTTTTCTCGTAATCGTTATAAGGTTAAATGGACAGATTAGCTTTTAAACCCTATTAAGTATGTTTCTTTGTAATTGTCTAATAGCTTTTTGCTAATTTGTGTTAATACAAATCATTACTATCTCATCATTCAAAGAAGTCATATTCCAACATTATTCTCATAAATGTCTAGATCGATGAATATTTTAAGTTTCCATCACAAATCTCTCCTAAAATTTTGCATTAAAAAAGATCTTATGTATAAGAGACTAGTAATATAAAATTGTTGTAAAATTAGTTGATAAGTTGGACAATGGCAAAAGAAAACATAAATGAAGCATTACGACATCACTCAAAATCAAGGTTCTAAATAACGTGAGGCGTGGGCTTGGCGGCAAGGTCAAAGTTAAGTCATGGCAAGCCTTGGCGAGCAATGTCGTTTTTCAAAACGTGACTATTTTATATAAATTGAAAAAGATAAATCATATAATTATTAAATTTTATCAAATATATCAAGTTTTTAGAGGTGTTATATTAATATTTAGTATCAAAAAGTTAACAAAAACTGAATTATTTTAGGGCCGATCAGAAAAAACAAAAAAAATTGGTGCCTTGAAAAAATTCGCGTCATAACGCGATAAGGCGCGCCTTGACACGTTATTTGGGCGTCACGCTTAACAAACTCGCCTTTGACGTTTTCGTAACGACTAGGTCACGCATCGCGCCATGGCACGCCTTGAGGCGCGCCATGGTGCGCTTTTTTGAACCATGCTCAAAATATAGAACAAATTATTGAAATTTATTAAGAGAGATAAATGAAAATTACCTACATTTTAGCTAACTAAATCAAATTAATTAATAAAAATCTAAATAAATCTCGTATTATATTCAACACATTTAAATTAAATCATATTTTTTTAATAATATGACTTCATTCAACATATATGAGCACATATTTTCATTTTTTTCATTCTTAAAGGATATGATTATTCAAGATTTTTTTAGAGTTAACATTCTTAAAGAATATACATGTATATATTAGAAAATAACATATATTTCTTTAGGAAACATATATCGTAATATAATCAATAATATACACTAAAAATAAATGTCGTTCTTATAACATAAAACAACCAATTTATAACATAAAACAAGAATATATACAACATTTTGAAGAATATATAAACAACATTTTATACTACATTCTTTAAGACTATGTTTGTAATATATATATTACATTCTTTGTATAATATACAACATTCTTGAAGAATATAAAAAATATAACATATACTACATTCTTTAAGAATATATTTTCAATAGGCTAAACTGAAATACGAAAACCCTACATTCTTCTCCACCGTTCATCATAGTTATCACATTTGTTCATCTTCGACTAGCCAACACTACTTACAACATTCGTGAATCATCCGTCCTCTCTTGAATTGCCTTTAAACTTTAATTGTGTCTACAAGTCCCCTCTCATCCAACATGTTTCATTTGTAACATATTGTGATAAAAAGTCATTCCATAGAAACATTAGAAATTGTAATTCACGTCAAATGTATTTATTCATTAAATTCCAACAATAATAAGTTGTTTTTAGCTCCCGGGGGGGGGGGGGGGGTAATAATAATTTCTTATTTAGAACAAAATAAAATGCTGTATACATGCAAATTTACCATCTTATTTTGATTAAAACAATGCCCATATCTTATGGTAACATGCTCGATGTATTATCAACACCATCACTTAGAGAAATGATGATTATTCAACAGTAAAAAAACAAAATAAAATAATTATTAACAATTTCATCAAGGACTTAAAAGGCAAAAAAAAAAAAAGATCTAGTAAGATTTGAGAAGTAGGTGAACCTTCTTTAGGAATATACATTTTGTAAATTGAGTTTCTTAAACAAACAGTTTTATTCTAGGATGTACCTTTTTGTTTTTATATGTGGATTAAGCTTACCTCTACATTCTTAAAGAATATATAAAAGGGCTTACAAAGTTATCATACTTTTAATAGACAATATCATAGTAATTTTTATAGAATATGTCCATAATAAGTTTCACAATACAGTAATTCATGTTAATTCTTATACAACAAATTTGACATCACATTGATTCTTTTAAGACTATTTGCAAAGTCGGCTACTTATATACCCCTAATATGAGATTAAGAAGAACATAACCCTATAACCAATACTATTTTTTTTAAGAATTTGAACGACCAAGCTTCAACATCAAACCCAAATATTATATGAATCTTACAACTCAACTAACCAACATAATCAAGTAACATTAAGGATAAAGAATCATACCTTAATTCTTTGTGGATCTAAACTCATAAATTAATCACAACCTAACAAGGAATTTTAGCTTTGGTATTTGAAATTACTTCAAGATCGGTCCCATGAGTTTGGTGCAAAACCCTAGATCTTTGTGTTTGTACCCTATTTAAGGGCACTAACTCCTAGGGTTGCCTCATTTGGCAGCCACCACCATCTGAGATCATACTAAATCCAAACCCTAGCCTCCATATGTGTGTTTTGAGTGTGTGAAGTAACTTTTGTAAAGGTTGGAGTAAGAAGGAGTCTGTTTTGGTGCTTATGTGCTTAGTTCTAGGCTTCTAGCTTAGATCTTGCATCTTTGTCACATGTATGGTCTTTTTGGAGGTATAAAGTCTTCACCTTTCTCATTAGATATCTAGATCTAGTTATAGGTCATTTTATGAGCTTTTTGGTCCATATCTTCTTGTTCTTGGATTTTGAGTGAACTTCAGAACCTTTGTGTGCCTGATTTGACTTCTGGACCATGGTGGTGGTTAGAAATGGGACTTTCATGCCTTAGTTTGGTGTCCATGCAATGGGTGCAACCATTAAGAGCTTAAGAGTTGATATCTTAACTTATTGAGATGTCTTAATGGATAGAGTTGGAAAATTTATCCATCAATACCTTGGGAAGATTCATATATGAGATTTGTAGCTCATGGGGTTAAGGGTTAAGAGCTTAATCCATTAAGTTGTGGGAGCTTAGTTTCTACAACATGGCAGTCTACTTGACATGACATGAAGGGTGGTTTCATCATGATTGTTTTGTCGTGTAGTTGCCATGACGTGACCTATGGTTGGCCACGACAGGAAGGTCAGTTGGGGTTGATTTTGACGATTTACTTTTGACCAAATTGACTTTTGGTTAACTTGAGGATTGTAGGGTGTAGACTGTAGACTGAGAGGGTACTTCTATATTGATAACTAGGTGATTCTGAGTACCAGTCTTCACTGTCAGAGAGTTGTTGTGTCAGTCTGCTATTTGTAAAGTGATTCTTCTCAATATATTACATATGTCATAGTGGTGTACATGTTAGACTAGAGGAGTCTTATTTATTGATTGTTGATATATGTGTTTCAAGTTGCTGGTAACTCCAGGACTGATGTGAGTCCATGAGACTGTTGATAGTCCTCAGAGTTACTGATAACCTACAAAGCGTGTTGTTAGTCCATTGAGACTGCTGATAGTCTTCAGGGTTGTTGATAACACATAGTTGTTTATTATGTTGTGATGTATGTGATATTTTAGGGAACTCAATAAACATCGTGCTTACAGTTGTGGATTTAAATGTGTTTCATTTACTTCAAATGATCGTGGAAAGATGAATGCTTGACTGTACACTCTCATCGGCAGCTTTTGTGATTTCGCAATACTATGATACTCTAATTTTTAAGATGACTGTATTTGATATCCATGTTTTTTCTTGACTTTGTTTTATGGAAACAATACTTTTACCTTATTTAAAAACAAAAAATTTTGTTGTGAAATTGAAATGGTACATAGGGTTAGGTTTATGTCTATGGTGATGGGGGTTGATGGTCTTGTTTAATGTTTAAGGGAATGAAGATGATGGTGATGGCGTTAATATGAGAGTGTGAAACTGATATGTCTATTTTAAAATATTATTATTTGATTTATTTTTTTTTAGCACAATTAGTTATAACCAACTATTATATTCCTATTAAATGATTGGTTAAAAATTAATCTTTCATTCACGCAATTTTACCCTCACACAATACTTGATGATATAAAATATAAAACAATCATATTATTTAAGTTTAGAAAGTAGGATTGAAGATTCAAAGTTCATATAGATTAATTACCAGATTGGAGGATGATATAGTTAATTAATAAATAAACAAACAAAAGAAACAAGGGTCCCACACAAATAGCTGTCACATACCCGACATTTATTCATGAACTATAGATGTTTCCGAAGCTATAAACACTATTTCTCTCATCAACTGATCAAACTCACCACTCACCAATATTGCCGTCTTCATCGGAGAATCTCATTTTCCAATTTTCCGATGGATCCATGCCCATTTGTTCGTTTAACAGTTGAATACTTATCACTCAAACTACCACTCACTACCAAACCCCTCGCCTCCGCTTCCGGAATTCATTCCTCCGCCACTCCGTGCTACTGCAAACTCCGTATCAAAAACTTCCCGCCACAAACTGCTCTCATCCCACTCTCCTCCCCCACTCATTCCGACAGCTGCTCTCCGGATTCCACCTCCTCCGCCATCAATTTCCACCTCGACCCCGCCGCCATCCGCCGTCTCCAAGGAAAACCAGTGCTGTTAACCGTATCGGTCTACACCGGTCGGATGGGACACAGTTGCGGGTTAAACGGGGGAAAGTTGTTGGGTCGGGTCGCGGTTGTGATCAACATTGACGGGTCGGTTACTAAACCGCTTGTGTTTCAGAACGGTTGGATGAAACTCGGGAATGAAGGTGACAAGCCGGCGGCTAGTTTGCATTTGAAGGTCCGAACGGAACCGGATCCTCGGTTTTTGTTTCAATTCGGTGGTGAACCGGAGTGTAGTCCGGTGGTTTTTCAAATCCAAGGGAACATCCGTCAACCAATTTTTAGTTGCAAGTTTAGCGCCGACCGGAACTCAAGATCGCGGTTAGTAATAGTATACTTCTCCTTGCTTCTTTTTTTCTTTTTTTTTTCCTCCAAAAAACTAGAAGTAATAAGTAATTAGTCATAAAATTAATTATAATTCCAAAATTTTAGTTGTATCTTAGCTGTCTAAATTTTTCCAACTAATATTATTTTAAATTTTCAATTAGAAAGACATAACAGAAAATATTCCTAAGGTTTTTGTATCAATTGTTAAAAAAAATGAATTTATGTTCCTTTGGATTATGAAAAGCCACTATTTTTCAGCTATAAGACTATAAGTATAATGTTATTTCTCTCAACAGGAAAAGGTAATAACGTATTTGATAAAAAAGCAATAAAGTATATCAAAATGAGTATTTTTTTTTCTGGTAAATTTCACTCTTATTTGATAACGTAAAGACAAAATATATCGATTCAAAGTTATACGTTTAAATACATTTTAGTAGATTCTTAATTCTTTATGTGTTTTAGCTTTCAGTGGTATCAAATCATAATAACAGTTCCAACTTACTGAACTATGACATGAGAAAATTTTCCTTACAGATTATTCACAACAAATTAGTGAAGTAAGGTAAAACTATAGGATTAAAAACAAAGCATTATCTTGACTGTTAAATTCACCCATTTTACCCGCTGGAGTTTCTTTTGATTAATCTATATTTCAGAAAATGAAATAACTGATTGTAATAATTATGGACGAAAAGGGATTCTCCTTGAATTTAGGTACAAGTGGAAAACAATATTCATGGTGAATCTCTCATTTATTACATGTCCTACATTGCTTCCCCTTTAAGATGATGTAATCTTTACTCTCTTCAATCCCTATGCATCGTCTTTATCATGTTTGCAACATATATATATATATATATATATATATATATATATATATATATATATATATATATATATATATATATATATATATATATATATTGTTGGCCAATGAAAGATGCCCCAACTGTCAAAGACAAGCACCAGCTTGATTCTTTTCCATGTGCTCTGGATTTTGGTGTCAGTTCAATGCTCTTTGGTTAATTAACTATCATGTCTTGATTGTTCTTGTTTGACTTTTGAAAGATTTGACTTTAGCTAATTTTGTTAATCATACAAATGCTTTTAGTTTAAGAATGATTATGATGAATTCTATTTTATGTGGTCCAAAAGTCCTACATCATATTAGAGTCGTTTTAGTTTTAAAAATAAAAAAACAAATATTTAATTTCTAACGTTTTTTTATATTTTGTTATTGTTGAATTTTCAGTTCACTTCCATCAGATTTCGCCATGACCAATATCAACAGAGGATGGATGACGACATTTTCCAATGGAAAGGAAAAACATGGGAGGGAGCGGAAAGGGTGGATGATTGTGGTCCATGACCTTTCTGGCTCGTCTATCGCTGCCGCATCCATGATCACTCCCTTTGTCCCTTCTCAAGGATCCGACCGTGTTTCACGGTCAAACCCAGGTGCTTGGCTTATCCTTCGGCCCCATGGTGCCTCGATCAGTAACTGGAAGCCATGGGGTCGACTTGAAGCCTGGCGTGAAAGGGGACCTGTTGACGGGTTAGGTTATAAATTCGAACTTGTCACTAACTCTGGTATGACAAGTGGGATTCCCATTTCTGAAGGGACAATGAACATTAAAAAAGGTGGGAAATTTTGTATTGATGAAACGTTAAACGATTCGAGAGCAAGTCCATTGTCAAACATCAAAGGATTCGTAATGAGTTCGAGCATTGAAGGTGAAGGGAAAGTGAGTAAGCCAATGGTGCAAGTGGGGGTGCAACATGTGACATGTATGGCTGATGCTGCTCTTTTTATCGCACTTTCAGCTGCAATCGACCTCAGTATGGATGCTTGTAAACTCTTTTCTCGTAAACTAAGGAAAGAGTTTTTGCAGGACGAACAAGATTTTCTTTCGTAAATTGTTTTTTTAAAGCAAACGATTTTATTTTTCTTTACCTCAAAATTTAATCATATGCAATGATAACCAATGAAATTAGTGAATTAGATTTGGATTGAGCATGCCAATTCTTTCTCTCAATGCTTTAAAAGAATGTATGGGAGGGCTTGACATATTTTTTATTAATTTTTTTATTTGTGTATGTATACGATGCTTGTGATTTTGAGGTTTGAGGATGATACTGTATAGATAAAAAAAAATTATTTTATTCTTTTAAGATTATATGTATACTTTGTCGTTAAAGTGATTTGTTCTTGAACATGTAATATAATGTTTAATGTTTGATTGGAATTTCTTTTTGGCAATAAGTTGTTTAGTTTTCTAGAATGGGAAGTGAGTCTTTTTTTTAATGGCTGTTTTAAATGGGTTTCAAAATATATGAATCCAATATGCTACTATTTGAAATTTCTGATAATAACTATTATAGATATTCAAATATAACCACCTGAAAATATAGTTTAATTGTAGAAACTAGAAAAACTATTTGAATGATAAAGCCCGAACAAAATGTTTACAAAATATTCTCAGAACTAAAGATGAAATCTATAAGCAACAAACACACCTCTTCATAAGAAAGAATATAAAGACAATTGTAACCTACTGATTAGACAACCCATAAGAAGGTTTACAATGTGTGAACCCTAGTTCTAAGAGCCGAATGAAGAAAACAAGACTTAAATATTGTCTCGCTTGAATATTTTACTCTTCTAGGCCCCCATGTATCATCGGACTTTGTTGTCCACCATCATTCGGCCTTATATGTTTCTAAGACAAAACACATCAAGATCTCCAAGCCCAGAGCCCCACACCAACATAGTCTGTTAACTCCTTTAACCCACAATATAAAATACTATACAAATGAGAACATATATTTTGTGAGAACGGAAGAGTCTATTATTTTATGTATTAAATTTATATATTAGTTTAAATATCATTAACATAAAAATGATAAAATTTTGCATATTTGTTTATATATTCTGGAAAAAATAAAATATTATTTTTTTAATAATTAACATTAAAAACTAAAAACAATCAAAGAATTTTTTAAAATATTTTTGCAGTTAAATATCAATATATGTACCCACTTTTAGCGAATAAAATATGAAAAGCTTTGACATTTTTTTTCAAGAAAAATAAAACATGAAAGATTAAAAAAAATAATACTATACAAAAATATGATATTTTTCAATAAACTTTTTAATACTTTGTAACTTTGTATCTATATGCAGTGGCGGATCCATGATCAAAGTAAAGGGGTATCCCCAACAAGTAAAGGGGTATCCCCAACAAAAAAAAATCGTGTATACACAATAAGAAAAAAAAATTCCGGAAAAAATTACACTACTGAAATTTTTTTGAGGGGTATCCCGGGCTACCCGGGATATATACTAGATCCGCCAGTGTCTATATGTACACCATTTTCTGGACCATAAAAAAATAATGAACTTTGATTTTTTTTTTTTTTGTTTGAAAAAATTAAAGTCACAAAAAAACATTATTCATTAATGCATATTATATTTTTATTTTTTTATATCAATATGTATATATCATTTAATCTAGCAAAAAATATGTTGGTATATTTGTTTATTTTAAATAAATAAAAAAAAGCCAATTTGATATTGCTTTTAATTTGTTGGTTCATCTGACACAAAGCATAAATAATCATAATCAAACATAGAATACTTTACTATTTTTTGTATGTTTTATATTTCCTTCTAAAACAAAATACTTTAGACGCCTATGAACTCTAGATTCTCTAAGAGACCTTTAACACTAATATGCTCATTACTCTCCCTAGGGTTACCACACTAAGCGGAAGATTCATTTCGATTTAACATATTTCCCTTATGTATTGTATATATATCCCAAAATTTAATTTGACTAGCATCAGGTCTATATCCAAGGGAAGATCTATGTGGTAGCCTGGGGTAGCCTGTTCTACCTCTCAAAAATTCCTAAGCAGTATAAGAATTAGAGATGCCTACGATGGAAGAACATGGTTTGCTACCTTACAAATATGATGTGTTATCCATCAGCCCAATAATTAACGTCCAAAAGGCTAAAAGCCTAATAATTAACGTCTAACCGGCTTTGTGAATTAATGTATTTGTGTGTGTTCTCAGCCAAATGTGACACTTAACTGGAAGGACCGTGGGTTACCTCCGTTGGAAGAAATCCCTAGAACCTGTACGTTAGAAACTTAGAAATCCAAGCCTAAAAACCCAAATCATGAAACAACTCAACAAGTAAGTTTCCTATTTTTATTTGAAGTTTGCAATTCGGTGTGTAATTGATGAAAATCAATTTTCCAGACCTTCGTTGAAAACGTGAAATTAGGTTTCCATTGAAATAAGTTGTTTTCATGATTGTCTTTGTATTGGTGTTGTTAGATGTTGTTGATATTGATTGTAATGTTTTTTATATCATCAAATTTTAGGGTAACCAAAAGATGATATTGGTTCTTTTTGAAACATTGTTTATGTGTGATTATGTTCCAAAACAGATTCGTGAAAAAAAAACCAATTCATAATATAGATAAGCCTAGAACTCAATGGTTATGTATATGTTAATTAGTTATTTTATAACTTCCTTACATAAAGCTAAAAAGTATGAACTATATGACTTTATGCTTATTCCAGTTCTGATTCACAACAAGGATAACGTAATGCAGCTATAAGCTTGTTTGTCCTTGTTTACAAGCATGAAGAGAACCCAAGTTTCAGGAACACTAATACGATAAGCTGTTAGATGACATCTTTCATTGGTTATCTAATCTTTTATTGTTGACTTCTTAAAATCTCATGACTTATAACTTGTATTTAATCATTAAATATAAGAAGCAAATGATTATAATTTGAAGAATGTGTCGGCTATTTACTACTTAGAACTGCTTCAAACACCTACATATTCTTTGTCGTAGTGAATAAAAAAGCAAATAATGCAAACACCCAAGTAGTAATACTCGGTTCTATTCAAAATTACTATCAAATTAGAAGACAGAAGCAATTTAGAAGCAACGTTCAAACTAGAGTGCTCCAAAGATGAATCAGAATTAACTCTCGAATCAAAAGCTCTGGCGGTTAGAGAGATGAGGCGTTTGACAGCTGGCGCTCCAACGTTATTACAAGGAACATTTTTGGTTTAAATTTGACATAAAAATACAAAAATTCCGATCCCGTTTATCCCAAAGTCCAAAAACCGAACTCGTTTAAACTGAATACAAAAAATATATATATTATATAAAATGGGGTAAAAAATTATGTTGTCCCTAAACTGTTGTTCTGATTCCGCTGCTCAGCCACTGGGTCCATCCAGGAAGGAATGATATTTGCACACATAATGACTAACAAAATTTGACTCAACATTCCTGCCTAGATGAGCCAAGTTGGTTTTTCAAAATGTTTATTTGCCTATTAATAAACTTAAAGGTAAATTACATGAATGGTCCCTGTAGTTTAGAGTAATTTGTAAGGTTGGTCCCTAACATCATTTTTTTTAACTTGTACGGTCTCTATTAAATGTTTTTGTTGCGTCTTTAATCTACGTAAAAAGACTATTTTATCCTTAAATATATTTTTAAATTAATTTGTTTTTATTTATTACTTTATTATTTATTTAAAAAATGAAATAAATTAAAATAAGACCCAATCCACCCCACCCCACCCCTTCTCTCCCTCTTTATGTTCAGTCACAGGAAAACAACCTCCGACCACCAGCCGCTACTAACCTCCGGTCACCAGTAACCACTACTAACCTCCGGTCACCACCAACGCTATAGTAATAACCCTATATACAAAACAAAATTCAGATCCAAACTAAACCAAATGATATAGAGATGCAAAGATCTGCTCTACCCAAATCGTGGCTAAAAAACAGTATATGCATGTCAAAAGAATGAACAAGATTCATATCCACAGCTTCAAACAGCACCAAAAAGCTTTGTATCCATAACTTCAAACAACACAACTACTATAAACAATCAAGAATCTCAACAGTTAACCCGGACCACATTTTTTCCTGATTCTTGCTTCTTACACAATCCCCAAATAACAAAACGAATCAGCCAAAAACAACGTCATTTATAAAAAAAATCTTGATATTTTGTTTCTTGTAACTAACCTACGACCAAAATTAGCCCAAAATCACAGCAACAAACTGATTTAGCTTCAATAATTATTCCAAATCTCACCATGCTAGCTGTGAGCAACCCATCTTCGTTCTGGTACAAAGAAACATAATGAGATAATACGTAGATGTCCATGCTGATGGTATTGATCTCGTTCAGTCAGATGTGAATGAAATGGCGTTGTTGCTATACAAAAAAATCACAAAAACTTCAAACACTCAACCCCTTCAAAATAAAACCTAATTATCTATCAATTCTGCAAAAACCTATGAGATAAGTCGGCGTCCGGTTATCTTCTCTAACCTCCTTCATCTTCAAAGTCGACTACATATCCTCCCTCCTCCATCTTCACGATTGACTTAATCACCTAAATAGATTTTGTAAAATTTGAGGGTTTTAGAGAAGATAGTACATAGGTTTTTACAGGCACCAACATTCCTCATCCCATTACTACTGCTTTAGTTCCTTTTGTGTAGATTTTCTGGCGATGGTGTGATTTCCTTCTAACGGTGGCACAGGTGGCCGACGGTGATGTAGATAGTCATGATAGAATAGGGGACGGTGAAGAAAAAGGGATGGGGGTTGGATCAAGGGTTAGGAAGAGATCTTGATTGTGAGGGTTCAATGTTTCCAACAATATTTTCATCCCAATTTCCAGAATAATTTTTTTTTAAATAGAATAAACACCCCTTTTTAATAAAGTTACATTCAGGTAAAACCACTTGTTCATAAACCATTATTCACAAATCAGAGTTATAAAGAAGACAATGTGGAATCTCGAATCATAAAAATGTTGATGTGTGTGTACAGTCTCGCTTTTGCAATCTCCACAACTGTAAGCACAAAGCTTAGTGAGTTCCCCAAAATATCACATACAACATAACATAAATAAACATTTATGGGTTA